CCTTCCAGAGGCCCCATACCAAAATACCAGCATATGGAGGATTAGGCTCCAATATGAATTTTGGGGCCAGGGGAAGACAAATAGTCTGTAAGAAGTATGTAATGTAAATACAGCTTAATACCATTGTGTTTTTAAAAACATGCAGACAGTCCTTTGTATTTCAGTAGGTAGGTAGACATAGGTAAATGAACTGAAAGAGTCTAGAACAATCAACTTGAGCCTTGTCTGTGGCAAGGGAATTCTGGTATTTAATCTTTATAAAAACAATAGACAAAAGTGTTCAGAGGGAAATTTATAGCATTGTGAAAGTGTATAGTAGAAAAGAAGATCTAAAATCACTTGTCTAAGCTTCCATCTTAGGAAACTAGACAAAGAAGAGCAAATTAAATCTGAAGTAAGTAGAAGAAAAAATGATAAAAATTATAGCAGAAGCCAGTGAAGTTGAAAACAGGAAATCAGTGAAGAAAATCAACAAAAACTGGTTCTTTGATAATAGATTTTATACGTCAGTTTTATTTTATCAATAAAATCGATGAGCTTCTAGTCAGGCTAGCTGAAAGAAAGGAGCGTGGACACAGATGATTAGTACTGGAAATGAAAGAAATGATACTGCTACAGATCAGGGACATTAAAAAGACAATCAAGGAATACCATGAACAACTCTATGCCTCTGGAAGTGATGACCTACAAGAAATGGACCAATTTCTTGTAGGTTAGATACAGTCTGCCAGAACTTACACCAGAAGTGGACAATTTGAATAAGTCTGTATCAATTAAAGAAATTGAATCAGTAATTAATAACCCAGGAGACCTGGGGTTTGGCTATGGCTTTTTATGTACAACACCAAAGGAGAAGCTGGATTTCATTAAAATTCACATTTTCTGCTGTGAGAAAGACACTGTCAAGAGAATGAAAAGACAAGCCAACAGATTGTAGAAATATTTGGAAAAGACGTATTTGATAAAGAACTGTTATCCAAAATATACAAGGAACTCTTAAACTCAACAGTAAGAAAACCAATGACCCAATTTAAGAATTGGTCAAAGTTCTTAATAGATAACACAGAAGGTATATACATGGTAAACATATGAAAAGATGCTTCACCTCAGGGAAATGCCAATTAAAGCAACAGTGAGATACCACTACACGCCTTTTAGGATGGCCAAAATCCAGAACACTGACACCACCAAATTGTGCCAAGGATGGTGAGCAACAGGAGCTCTCATTCATCACTGATGGAGATGCAAAAATGGTACAGCCACTTTGAAAGAAAGTTCAGGGGTTTCTTAAAAAATTAAACGTACTCTTCCCATACGATCCAGCATTTGTGTTCCTTGGTATTTGTCCAGAGCGGTTAAACACTTAGGTCCACACAGAAACCTGTAGACAGGTGTTTATAGCAGCTTGATTCATAATTGCCAAAACTTGAAAGTAGCCAAGATGTCCTTCCATATTTGAATGGGTAATGAAACTGTGGTATGTAGAGATGATGGGATATTATTCAGCACTAAAAAGAAGGGTGCTGTCAAGCCACGAGAAGACATGGAGGAGACTTAAATGCAAATGTCCGAGGGAAAGAAGCTAATCTGAAAAGGCTACCTACTATGTTCTACGTATATGACATTCTAGAAAAGGCTAAATTACAGAAACAGTGGAAAGGTCAGTGGTTGCCAGGGGTTAAGGGGAGTAGGTGGAGCACAGAGGATCCTTAGGGCACTGAAACTACTCTGTATGATATTATAGTGCTGGATCCAAACTCACCGAGTGTACAAGAGTGAACCCTGTTAACTGTGGACTTAGGGTGATAATAATTCTCCAGAGAGAGTAGGTTCATCACTTGTAACAAAGGCACACTGTCGGGATTTTTTATGATGGAGGTGGCTGTGCATATTTGGGGGCAAAGATGGTATATGGGAAATCTCTACCTTCCTCTCAACTTTGCTGTGAACTGCTCTTAAAAAAAAAGAAAAACGTTGAAAAAATAGTGAAAGAAGGGCATATCGCATAAAGTTAATTTTATAGAAAACATAGTTAAATGAGGGGACAGTATCAAGAACACTAAAAACTAAAATACAGGTAAAACTTAGAAAAATATGCATGAGTTTTTATGTAGAAAATTATTATGTAGTAAATATGAAAATTAGTAAAATTATAAACCTCATAGGTGAAAGTCTGAATAGCTAGAAAAAAGATTTCATGTTCTGTAAGAAAAGATACTGGAAAGTTACTTCCTTAAAAATTAACAAATGTAATATAATTTTGTTTGTTTTTTTAAGATTTTATTATTTATTTGACACAGAGAGAGACACACACAGCGAGAGAGGAACACGAGCAGGGGGAGTGGGAGAGGGAGAACAGGCTTCCCAGAGCAGGGATCCTGATGTGGGACTCAATCGCAGGACCCTGGGATCATGACCTGAACTGAAGGCAAATGATTAACAACTGAGCCACCCAGGAGCCCCCGAACGGAATATAATTTTAATCCAAGTCCCAGTAGGACTTTTGGGAGATATTTATAAGCTTAATTTGAAAGGGTAAATGTGTAAGAAGCAGAGAGAACTTTTTAAAAAGTAAGGGTAATGTAGGAACGTTACCTTAGCAGCTATCAAATGCAGCAAAAGCTTATTTTAGTCAAAGGGTGGTGGTGATGCCGTGTCAGGACAGACCAGTGGACCAGGTTATTCAGCAGCAGCATGTTTGTTAATGTCATATTTGGTGAATTCCAAGACAGTTTTTCAGTTTTAACATTTTTGACCACAGGATTAATTTTACAGTTAATGTAAACCACGATGTTCAGCATTTTCTCCTCCCTCCTTTGGGTAAGATACATGATGGGGCATCTTCAAATCTGTGACATCTTGGATTGAATGGAATATTATGAAATGAAGTGTATCCACACGCATGTCTATATACTCACACACGAAATGAGGCCCGCTCGGAAACCCCTCCCGAGTTTCACAGTAGAGTCTTATGTGCAGCCGTGATCGTTGTCTTTCTTAGGCACTTTCTGACGGCTTCGGCACTACATACAGTGCAAATGGACTGCTTAGTGAAGTTCCAGCTGTGGGAAAATATGCAGGAGTTCGTGAGGTCTGAGAATGATGTTGGAGAAGTATTTAATTTATCCACTGCCTTTGGCGTATAAGAATCTAGTTTTCTTTTTCAAGCTAAAATCCCTGTCAAGACTTTTCTTCAGAATTTATTATGAAATTTTGGTCTTTGTTTTAAATATATTCACTTAGAGTGGCCTGAGTGTCATGTCGGTTACCCTCAGAAGCAGAAATATCCTACTTTAAATATATTCACTTAGAGTGGCCTGAGTGTCATGTCCGTTACCCTCAGAAGCAGAAATATCCTACTTATTGTACAGATGGTATTTCAACACAAGAGCGTAGTGGGGCATCTGGACGGGAACAGTCAGTTAAGCGTCGGACTCTTGGTCTTGGCTTAGCTCGTGATCTCGAGGTCATGAGATCGCGCCCCACTTTGGGCTCCGTTCTCGGCATGGAGTGTACTTAAGATTCACTCTCCTCCCTTTGCCTCTCCCCCTGCTCGTGCTTGCTTGAGTGAACTCTCTTTCTCTCTAAAATTAATCTTAAAAAAAAAAAAAAAAAAGATTGACTCAACAGAAGAGTGTAGTATCAAAAAACTGATGGGACAAAGACTCTCTTTGCTGCACAAGGTAATAACTTGGATTCTGCCTGATGAACATAGATTTCAAATAGATGAAATTCTGAGCATGAAAAAAAAATAAAAATTCCAGAAGAAAATATAGGAAAATAGTTTTTAGAAATCCCAAAGTGTAAATGGATTCATAGGAGGTCAGAAAAGTCTGAACTCTTAGAATGTTTACGACCCTCCAAATGACCTCTGTATACATCAACAGATCTACGGTATGTTTGTGATATTGAAGTTTCATGGGGAGGAGGCAATTAGGGAAAAAGATGTCTAGCAAGGCTCCTTAGTAGGGGTGATAGTGAGAAACAGCCAGTAAACCGTGCTATAGAGAAAAGTGACAGATTCTACAGTATGCATATATTTTAAACTTCTTGACTATGAAAGACACTGTAAACCGAAGTAAAAGGTGGGTGACAAAGGATTTCAACACATTAAGGCTGTCTGTGTTTGTCTCACATACCCTCCCCATGAAAAAAAAAAAGATAAAGGACCTCATTCCTTTAAAAAAAAAAAAAAAAAGATGCTTTCTCTAAAAAAAAAAATTTTTTTTTAAGAAGTGAGTGAGTGATTGGGAGAAAAGAGTTTTCAACTTCTGTAATTGACAGAGGAGTGTACCTTTAACATATTGAAGTTCCCACAAATGGTTAACCAAGAAAGAACAGTAGAAATAAGGGCAAAGGATGTGGAGTCAGGTTTGGTTTATTTACTACAGTGAGTCCATTCCTCAGTTTGTTTGGTGTTTATTAGATGTGAATGACCATCTGTATTTCAAAAGGAATTACACATAACACCTTGTGGGGGCCCTTCTGTTTTAGACGTTTGAGCTCTCAGAGGTGTGTTACCACAGAGTTGGAACAAATAATGTGGCATGGAAAAATCCATTTAGTTTTTTCTTTGTTATGTTATTATGCCTTTTCCTAATTTCCTGAATGTATGACAGCATTGACTTTTTCAGCTTCCCTTTTTAAGAATATGGGAGTGTGTTTTATTTTTAGCCAAACCTAAATTCTTTGTTCTAACAAGATGATTTTTTGCTATTTTATGTGTGTTTATTTAAAACAAATTCTAGAAATTCTCATGGTGAACTGCACAGGAATATTTTATCAGATACAAACACTGTTTTATGTTAATGAGTGTGGAATATTAAATATCCTAAATAGTTTACAGCACATTAAACATGCTGAACCAAATACTAAAATTCCAAATATTAATGCTGTTTTGTCATTAAAAGTTAATCAGAATTGTAGATATGTCTCCTAACTTCAGTTAAATATACCTATAAATTTTTATTTTTGTTTATTTTCATTTCGCTTTTTATTAGCGATCCAGTGGGGAGAGGATGGCCGTCCATTTCATTTTCTCTTCTATACCGGCAAACAGTCGTATTATTCATTAATGCATGTAAGTATATTACATCGATGATTAATAATATGAACTGTAAGCTAAGTGACTGTACCAGAGATCTTGCTCGGCTTCAGGATTTACCTAGTATGTTTCAGACTGAGCAAAACTAAGATCTCTAGAGGTAAGGCAGTATGTCGAAAGACTTTATATCTTACTAACTCATTTTTGCTAAAGGTAAATAAACACCATAGAATTTATGTCTGAATGTCTGGCCTTAAAATGCTGGTACTTACAAATTGAGATCATTTTCGGAGGTCAGTGCTCCGCTCAGTCATAATGCAGGCACGTGTGTGGAGGGTAAGGCTGCTGTCAGGGGCTGTAAGGCGTTTACCACGGGCGAATTGTTGTCTGTACTTTTTGTTTATCCTATACAGTTTTTGCCTTTTAGAGGCCAATGCAGCGTTATGAGTCTAGAATTTGTGCCCTCCAAAGACCTAAGAAATGGTTTTATTACACGTTGACTTGCAACTGCGTTTGTACTGGGAACAGCTTTTTCTCGTTGTTGTTTCAGCGCTCTAAGTGTCTGATAGCGTGCAAATTTGGGGGTTCCCTAGGGTATTATGAATAAAATGGCTAGCTGCTAATACCCAGTTTTGGACAACAGAACCTATCTTGCTTTAAGAACTCGGTGTCAAGTTTTATTTTCTTCATTATACGGTTTTTAAAAAATTGCAAAAGCATGCACTGGGCTTCCCCAGCCTCAGTCAGCTTTCAGGTTGCTTGAATCCCAGGCACACATTCACTCGGCTTTTTTAGAACTCTCTGGTGTTTATTTGTGCTCCACAAACCCAAAGGACAAAATCCCCACTTGTCAGGTACATTTATTTCTTGGGGAAAAAAAAGAAAACCTTCTTTTCGCTTTTTGTTGACCTTGGGCAAATGAGCTTCTTGCCCTGGCAGAAATGAAATGAATGATAAATGTAGAGTGTGTCTTTGCTGACTAATGGAGCTGCGGCTGGCTCTCCGCCGAGCCTCCCCCGCAGCCCGAGGCTGCCCGAGGACCCCTGCTGTTCATTTAAATAGGTATGTCAAATCTGCCTCCAAACGCCGCTGGTTTGATCTGTGGTAATATTTGTGAAGGTTCCATATGGACTTGAGCCCCCTGCAGTGCTAAGAAATAATGTACAACGCTTCATGGTGCAGACGCAAATTTTCTCTGAAAAGGGATGCAATGCTGCGTTTTAGCTGTCGGAGGGGATGATGGAGCTGACGCGCTAGGCCTGTCAACTTGTTACACGGATGGGTTGCACGCAGCGAAGCTGTGGAAAATCTGTGCCTTTTAACTTTTCTACTTAATCACGGTTGTAGCATTGCCTTTAGACTGTATGCTACATTAATTCTCTTCCTGCCTTCTGCCTTTCATCCCGAGTTTCACGGAAAAAAGTAAAGTATGCAGGTCTTGTAGGGGAGCCTTATCAAACAGCTGTCAGCTGACAAGCCATTTGCATTTGTTTGGGCTGAAACTGAGCAACCCAAGGGCAAGATATTTTGTTGCATTCCATCATAATGAAGAAATTACACATTGTGGAAGGGCCCTAACGCAGGTTTGGGTTGGTTTCTGTTTTAGGAAGGTACTGCTCAAGAAAGCAGTTGGTTTCACTACTGTAGTCTGACTGAAGATGTCAAATTACAACTGATTAATAAAGGGTTTTCTTTCTTTCTTTCTTTCTTTCTTTCTTTCTTTCTTTCTTTCTTTCTTTCTTTCTTTCTTTTTTTTTGTTCTGAGTAATACAGTTTCTGTTACGTAGATCTGAGTTCTTCAGGCTTTTCTGTTTTCGTTCAACTCCGTAATTTAGGTCCATTCATTGTGTGGGGTGTTTTGACTCCCCAGGCGGTGTGGGGCTCGGCATTTGTTGTACTGCTCATCAGAACAGTTTACATGTATGAATGACAGATGGTTTGGTTTAACCTGAGTGTTTTAATTCAGATCACTAATAAAACCTTGTGTTTCTAAACCAACTTTTTATGGAATCTTAAAGTAAATGTATGCGTGGAAAAAAAGGACAAATGCTTTCCTAAGTCTGCGCCCATCAGCTTCCTGTATGGCCGATGCTCTTAACAGCTGTGGTCGTGCCAGCCTCATTTCCTAGATGGTGCAGGTGATCGCCCTCCTAGAGACCCTCTGCTACTCTGAAGCACTGTGACTAAATATCCACTGGTCACTTGACAGAAGTGGTTTTGTAGGCAAGTCAGGCATCGGGTATAAAGAAAAAAAGGATAAAACTTGAAACTGCTTCATGTGTTTACTCACTCCTTTGTTCTGCCTCCTCTTGGGGCGGGGGGTTCAGATGCCGTTCGATTCTGTGGGAGAGTGATCCCACCGCAGCAAGGAGTCGACCCCCAAAGACTGTGGCAGGCCTTAAACACTTGGAAGTGTATCTTTGCCGTTGCCGTTTCTTTTGATACAGGTTCTTACATGTGACACGGTAAAAAGACCCTAAGCCAAACTAGGTTTCTGCTTAGCTAACTAATTTTGGGAGGCATGGCAGTCGTGGGCCAAGCTTTTCGACAAACAAACAAAAAATCTCACGGGTCTCAAATATGTGTGCAGTTCTGCCCAGGAGACCTTTCTGACATCAGTTAACCTTTTTGTCTTCTGTAATAATGCCAATTCCTCTTTTTGGTGTTTGGTCACTGTTGGTGTAATAGGCTTATGTATTACCTCACAGCAACTAATACAAGAGAGTCCCTGTGTGGCTTACAGTTAAGGATAACCTCCAGTGCTTTAGTGTACACTGTTTCCAATTGGCCTGTCATCAGTCCATCCCATCTTTGTGGAGAAGCAGGGAGGTTTTTGAGGGAAGATGAGGATGAGAAGAAAGAAGCAATTTATTGTTCCTGCCCAGATGTGAACCGTGATAGGAAAGCGTGAAGTGCAGTGGAGGAAATGTGCTGATCCGTAGCGGTCTCAGCTTTTGTAAATGTGTTACTTTCCAAAGGTTGTTGCCCCCTTCCTTGGGACTGCCTTTCTCCTATGGATACAATATGTCTTCAGGTTCCTGGGAAAGTCCGTAAAAACCCACTTATTTTACATTGTAGTGAATGTGGGATGCATATGTAATGTAAAAAGTATAGGACAGAACAAACAAGTAGTGTCTTAAGGAGTAAAAAATAGTTTAAGTAAAAAGAAGTAAGAGACTTAAGGAGTTTCTCAGAAGGTCCTTGAGTACTGAAAAGGGAGCTCCACGCTTGATGGCATTGGCTCATCTGTCTTTTCTCACCCGAAATGGATGGCTTTCCATTTCCTTAATGGCCATGTGACGAGTAGAACTTGTATACCTCTCAGACATGATTTCTTTAGAGTTTGAGTTTAGGGTTTCAGGAGCAGAAGGAATGAACAGAGGGAGAAAAAGAGAAGTTTCCTGAAACAATCGAGCCGAAGTGTAAAGGAAAGGGAAGACTTTATAAAGAGGATAAAGGTATGTGTGCAGAAAAGAAAATGCTATGCCATGGCACAGCTGAGCTGTGAATAGCTTTGGTCTAGATGAGGGAGAAAGCCATGTGTGCACAGTCAAGGGACAGGGCGGAAGGGTGGTCTGTCTGCCCTTGGGGCCTGCCAGTCTGGCGGGGCAGAGGTGGGGGGTCGGCTCCCCTTGCCCACAGCAGCTGGAGCCTTTCCCGGCCAGCCATGCAGGTGGTAAAGAAGGTTTTACCCATGAGCGAGACATTTACAACCTGGACAGCCATGGTTGAGTTTCGATAGGGACTTTACTTGTAGGAAAAATGTTAATTCAGATTTATCATTAATATATACACATTCTTGAAAAATTTTAAATTCACTCACTATAAGCGAATTGAAAATTATTTAAAATTCATTACGGGAAGGGATTATTTGACTCTGAAGTGGAAACCTTTTATAAAATATGATCCATTTAGTCTGGGCTTGTCTACTGCACCCTTTCCCAAAGTTTGCTAAGAAACACAGGTAATAAAATATTCTTCATGAAAAAGGTTCTGCCGTGAAGTGAGTTTGGCAGTGCTGCCCCTTGAGTCCTGGGAAACTCCACCAGGAGCTACGGGATAGCATGATAAAGTCTGGCAGTAAAGAAGCCTGTTGCAGTAACCCACTGCTGCTCAAACATTGGGTCATGGAACCTTTGCTGCCCGGAGCCCCTTTTAACATTCCATGAGACCAGTGCTTGGAAAAGGCCGTACAGACATTGAAGAAATCAGTTATCAAATACCTTGGGCATTTGCTGACATTTCACACGAACTCCCTTACCCCAATTTCTATGATACGGTTGTTTATCTCTTTTTGATGCAGTTTTTACTGTACCAGGAGTTGAGCCTCTTAAATCTATAAACCTCATTTATATTTTAGGATTCACTTTACAGTAAACAATGGAATATTTTCAAAGGATTTCTGTAAATTGAAGGAATTACATGGCCACAGATGAAATCTGTTCCCAGAAAAGTTTGAAGTTAAGGAATAAGTAGATCATTATATATTTTTTAAACTACTCTGCTGAAGTGAAAAAGGTTAAAATTTGAAAGAAAACCAAGTAATTCTAATCCTGATAACTTATGCATAAATGGGATTCATTTGCCTTTTGAAAGAAGCCTGGCTTATTTAGAAATTCTCTGGTTTATTTTAAATGACTTAAGTAACCGTCTGTGTTCATAAAGCATGAGAACAGCAGCCCTAGAAGCGACTTCACTATGTGAAGATCCCAGACTTCAAGAAACAAAAGTCCTGGGGACTTAGTGCCACAGAACTCTTACGTAGTTTGCATTGTCTTTGTAACCTTGTGAATATTTAAAATTTCTTATTTTGTGCCCTTATCCTTTAAAAATGGAGTTAAAACAGTGACCCTTCTCGAAATGAGGTATTATGAAATAACTCCTTCAAACTGTGCAGAGTGCTGATTTTTAAAAAGCTGCAGGGTGGTGCTGACATATTTCTGCCTGCTCTTTTAAGGCGATATATGCAGTGTATTGTATTCACAAAGTGATAGCAAGGGTGTGTGGTATGTCACTTGAAACATTAGATAAATAGCAGTAACTGTGATAAGTGAATTCTGTATTATGTTTATTTCATTTTATTTCATTTATATGCCAGTAGCCAAAAAATTGGGATGATTGCTACTTAGGAAATCTGATTTTTTGTGATTTTTTTTTTTTTTTTGACAAACGCATATTTTAAGTCCATTACTTTCCTCTTATTTAACTAGTATCTAAGAGGATAGTTACTGTCAGTTTACTGTTGTATGTTTTGGGCATCATTTGGGTATCATATACTTCTATACCACCCCCACAAGAAATTTTATTTGTTTACCCTTCCTAAAATTGGAATTTCTACATGATTAACATAGCCAAAACAGATTTAAGAAGGATACTAAAAAATCATATTGCTCATGCTCTTGGAAGGATTTCGTTTAAGCATCCCTTTTCTGCAACCTGAGCATCTGGTATTTTCAAATTAGGCACCTTCTAAATTTGACTCATACATTATGGAAATATGATGACATGAGGGGTGGATAGGCTTGCTTTGATTTTATGAAATATTAATCATAGCTGTGATTAATGATTCAGCATTTCACATCTGGGTTATTCCTGTCATATTTGAAAATTATACTATTAAATACAGTATATAAACTTAGTATGGGTGGGGTCACGCTAATTCTCTAGTGTCCTTTAAAAATTAAGTGGAAACTTAACAATATACCAGAAGCTACCAGTGATAATCTGTGATGCTGACAGTTCCTGACATATTTTATACCCTCTGGGATTTTTTTGATGCTGGTTAGTACACATCTCTTCAGGGAGCTGAAGCTATAGACTCTACTTTCCAGAGAGCTGTTGTCTCTAACTAACCAAGATAGAATCTCTAGAGTGGTCTTATTATATAGAAGAGAAAGAATAAATACAAATGGTACACCAGTAAAAGTGTTTCCATTGTTAGACTCTTGAATGCCATCCCTCCCCCCTGCTGTCATTTCTTGACCATTACCATGGGTCAGGCACTGCGCTAAATATTGATGCATGTTTTCCTATTTAAAGAAATGTATGGGGTGCCTTAATGAGAATTATGTAGTTCGATGGATTACAACCATCAAAGTGTAAGCATCTGCTGTAAATGAATTTACCATGTTTGAAATTTTACATGTACTGTTTTTGGCTGGTTTTCTCATAGTACACATTTTTTTCTGATTATCTCACTTGCACTATTTACAAATGATTATGGAGCTAAATATAACCATGGAAGGTAATGGCACAGTGAAAAAAAAATGTGAAGAAGAGCATGGACTTAAAGTTGGTCCAGAGTCATTAGAAAATGATGATTACTTTAGCAGTCCACAAGTGACTCAAAATTTGATTATGAGGCAGGTTCATTATTATTACTATTTTCTAGTTGCCACAGTTATTCCAGAAATTAACAGCCTTACAAACCGGAGAAGGCATCTTATTACTGTTGTTGGTGTTCTCTTGGATTTGTTTTGTTTGTTTGTTTGGCTGGCTAGATTTGAAAGATACTACATCTCTGGCTTCCGTACCCTCAGAATGTCCAGACTCTGGAGCGGACCATAGAGACCTATGCTGTTCCTTCCCCAGATCCCCAAGGTGTAGCAGTGTGGCTGGGCCCGGCCTGCCAACAGCCTGGGGCCAGGTGCACAGGGAGGGAGATGCCGTGTGCGTGGAGTCTGTCTACTTCTTGTGGGTTCTTGTCTCTTCCTTTATTTTACCTGGTCAGAGCGTTTGAGAATTCCTTTCTAGAAACAGGTGTACAGAAATTTTTCTGATACGGTATCCAGTTGGGGTCACAACCCAGTACCTTAGCTTTCTAAAATGAGTTAAAAGTCAAATGAGACTTACCAATTCTTGGGAGATAAATTACACAACCAGTCAAATGAGGCTTACCAATTCTTTGGAGATAAATTGTAGAGTTTTAAGTTGAGTAGCAGGTATATATATTACATGTGGATGTTTCGCATTCATTTTTGCTTTCTTGGGGGTAGACTGTTGTAGTTCTGTTGCCACAGGCAATGGATTTGTACTATGGATATAGCTGTAGAGATTGTTACACTTAATAATGAACAAGAGAATAGAATTAACTGAATTTTCCCCTTTATCATATTATGTTGTACTAGGCTCTTGGTACTTCTAGTGTTTAGATCCAAAAGTCAGTGTGTGTAACTTGGAGTCATTAAAACAGATCAGTGGGCTCCACCCCAGAGGTTCATGATCTGAAAGTCTGGGTTGGGGCCTGAGAAATTACAGTTCTAACCAGTTCTACACTTGTGCTGCTGCTGCTTCCCTGAGAACTGACCTTTGGAAGTTACCGAGCTGGTGATGGTTTCACTTTGTTTGAGATCCCCATGTACGCCATTAATGTACACATGCTCATACAGACAGAGACCTGTGCAAAAAGACACTTTCCATTTTTTTAGAGCAGACTTCTTGAGCAACCTTGTGATATATACGGCAGCTTAATCAGAGCCCACAAGAAGTTGCCCTTCCAAAATCTGCAATTATTAAGACTGGGATATGGATCAACGTGTCTACAGTAACAGGTTGTATCTTCATTATTGGACAGTAGCTGGTGATATTGGAAGGTGACATGATCAGCAAGGGAAAAAATGTCGTTTATATCATCTCTGGCTCATCCTTTGAAAATGTCTACTCATTAGGTATCAGTGTGGTAGATTATGTTAAATCGTAAGTGAATACACACATACTGCATGTGAGTCCTCAGTGAACACTTGTTAAGTCAAAAAACTGGGAGACAACTTGCATGATTCTACTTTTGTAAACTGATTTCCTGGAAAATGTATTTTATTGATACTGTTCATTGCCAGATTATTGCATTTTACAAGTTCTAACAAAATGGCACTTTTCCCCTGTTTATATTACAATTTAACAAGTGACATACATTTACAGACTTTGTTGGGAAGTAAATTAATGGAAAGAAATCAAATAATAAAACAAATATAATAGAAAACTTTTTAAGATATAGACTAACATGGTGAGGACTTAAATATTATATAAATACTGAATATTAGATAAGTAGTTCAACTGTAAATACCATACCTTTGCTGGTTAATTCCCTGAATTTAAAGTGCATATTGCTATATAAATTATGATTTTTTTTAACAGGATAATTTTTGGTCCTGTTTGTGGAACTTAAAGAAAAATAGTTTGTAGCTTTCTTTTGTGTTTACCAACCTCACTGGAGTTTTTTTTTTTTTAATAGAGTTCTTTATAGAGTAAATATCTTACAGAATTATTTTAAAATCAGTTAATATATGCTATTGTGTATTATACTAAATTCTCATTGAAATTACACCACTGTCCTTTAGTTTGAGAAACAGTATAATTAAAAAGTATTTTCAGTATTATTTGCTGTGCAGCCAGATTCTGTGAGGAGGTCCCTTCTGAACTGAGGAATGCTCACAGGGAAAATATGAAGTAGAAGTCATAATGTACCGTAGCTCTTATTTTAGCGCATGTATTTTATTTGCCACAGGAAGCATATGGAAAGCTACTAGAAGCAGAAAAACGTCAGAATCAGTTGCAAGCCAAAGGTCTATTTTCAGAAAAAACTGAAACCAAGTAAGTTCTTCTCTTGCATTAGAATACATGAAAATTTTGAATGAAAAACATGCCACTTGTCATTGGTGGTGTTTAGGCATACTTAAAGCTTACAAGTGTGTTCCCTGTTTCAGCATTGATCATTAAAGTTAGGGGTCAAAATAACAGGTGAGTTTTTTGTGAGTTTTTTGTGAGTTTTGGGGAGGAAGTAGATGTTACTGCTGTTATTTTTATCTTCATTCCAGGTTTATTTATTAAATGGCACTTATATTTGAAGATGAGGTCCTCAGAATTTTTGTTTATATAGCTGTATATTTACTAAAATGCCAAAAACAAGGCCTATAAATGTTAAGATTTGGACTTCCACTGGACAGACAGGGATAGGATAGATCTGTCAGCCTGGTGATTTCAGGCTGCTGCTTCACTTGCTACTTCTTTTTTTTTTTTTTTTTTTTTAAGATTTTATTTATTTGACAGAGATCACAAGTAGGCAGAGAGAGAGAGAGAGAGAGGAGGAAGCAGGCTCCCTGCCTAACAGAGAGCCTGATGCGGGACTTGATCCCAGGACCCTGAGATCATGACCTGAGCTGAAGGCAGAGGCTTAGCCCACTGAGCCACCCAGGCAGCCCCCACTTACTACTTCTTATGCAGAAGACACAAGTCTTCGAGAATCCCTTTTCAAAATTGTACACACCACCGCTAGCTCTTTATTTGGACTTGATGATTAATTTAGTCTGCAGGCGGGCCAACTCTGCGTCCATTGCTTCACCTTTGAGGTAAATAGTGAAAAATAAGTGCAGTGTTAATTTTTAAGAAACCTGGTAGCTTGGTGTATCAGATGAGTTCCACAAGAGCATGTTTAAGTCCTCCAGCAAAACATTTGCTAGACTGGGTGTCTTTTTTAAAGTAGAGTGAGGGAATGAAATAACACTTCTCAAAAATAGTTTACTTGGGTGAAATTTTAATGCTCTGGAATACAAAAATTTGTTTCCCAATCAAGAATCGCTACTATATGTGGGATCTTTTGTGATAGAACTCTAATTGCATGGTTAATTTAAAAGAGAATATATGTGATATTTTAACAGAGACCTGATTGGCAGCAGATGGCTGATTAAGGAGGAACTAGAAGAAATGTTAGTGGAAAAACTGTCAGATCAAGATGTGAGTAATTAATCTTTTAAATTTAAGGGGACCTCGTACCATAAGAATGTAGACAATTGCTGTATTTAGGATCTCACAGCAATGTTTCTCAGGGGCAGGTGTTCGTTAAGACAGTTCCCTTTCTGAAACTATTTAGAGTCATTTTCTGCCATGGGTCCTTATTGCGGTCAGGAAGGTGACATGCCTGCTGTCCAGATCCTCCTATCCACAAGTGCCCTTACAGTCCTCTGCCAGCAGTTCTTGGGAAGCGTGGCAGGTGTCATTTTTCATCTCCTTCAGTAAAGCAGAGAGCTAATTTTACAAGCTAATAATGACAAGTGTAAGGACTTATCACAGGTTAAGTAGAAAAAGAAGGGAGCACATGGTTGCCTTCGTGCACTTTGCCGCTCCCTGGCCTACTTGTGTGCAGTTTCTAGAAGGGCGGTATTTTTCATCTTGGAATCTGCAAAACCACCTATGTCAGAATCACTTAAATGCAGCCAGAAAACGGATTAGAAAATGCAGTTTCCTAAGATTCAGCCCTCACTCAGAATTTCCAGGGGTGTCACCCAGGAATTCATATTCTTAAACCAGCTCCCCAGGTGAGTCTTCTACCCTATAAAGTTTGGGCTTTAGGTTTTAATTGGAGTGCTCTTTTGCTAAGTGCTCTAATATGTGCCAGTATTATCTGAGGAAATTTGATGGTTTTATATATGTTGATGTTCTAAATTTAGGTTATTTGTAGAATATTTGAGTGTAAGTTTCACAGATTGTTCCAAGAAGGGTTTTTCCTTCCATGGCACTGGTTAACATTGTTAGTACCTTACCACCCATGTTGATTCTAAGTCGTGTACTTAAATTGCTCTTTTTCTCATTTAACATATTGGAGAAATTAATGATTTGGAAACGTTGCAATTTGCTTAACAAGGTGTCAGGCATTTGGTGAGTGGTAGATCTGGAGTTAATTTCTAATATCCTAACTGCCAAGTCACTATTGCTGCATTTGGATCTAACTGAAAAAATCTCTCTTTGCTTCTTCATTAAGTGTATCATTTCATTGTTTCCTGTGTTTTTTGGCTGCTTTGATTTTTTTTTTTAAATAATACAAATTTGGCTTTTGTTTTTTGGTTTTGTTTTTCCATTTCGAAAACATCCCAAGGACTTTTTTCAGAGGTGTGCAACTGGGAAAACAAAACAAATATATGCATTTTCTGTATATACACGTAATGATCTGTATATCTCTTGTGCATAGACAGTAGATGCATAGATGATAGTCTGCTATACTTTGGGGTACTGGATAGCAGAAGAAATCCTGAAGCTGCTGGCTGGTATCAAGATGAGGAAGTAGGGACTTCTTAAACCTTACCCCCAGTGCATCAGAAAGGCCGTGCCAGACTCGTAGCTTCCCCTCTGTACGTTCATGGTCGGTGTGCAGTAGAAGTGAGAGAACCGCTGAGAGCAGAGGGCACAGGCCTGGAAATGGAGGGAAAGAACAGAGCTGTGTCAGTCCAGGAACCGCAGGTGGCGAAGTCTGTCACCCTTACCTAGAAAATTCCCCTCTTTTTTATTGTGACAGCACAGGAAGCAGTAATTGAAGCAATCTTCTTAAACTTACTGTTGAGATTTCCCCACGTTTCAGATTATTAATGGCAGATATTCACGATAAAGTCAGAGGCGACAGAGGCGTATGATTTTTAGGGTTGACAGAAACACAAATAAGGTTATCAAAAATTGGGTCTCACACTCCACATTAACTAAGGATCTCGAGTATTAGTTGTCTCCTTCTGCATAAACACTTTAGAATGATTACTCTGGCGTCTAATTTTAAGGGGTTAATACCAAGTTGTTTACTTTCTAATCACATGTTCGAGAACTATTAAAAAAAACGTACAGAGTAGCAGCGATAATTTATTTCAAGAGGTTGCCCTTTAAGTCAAGTATCTCTTGAATTTTTAAATAGCTTGATTGTTCGGTTTTAAAGGAAATCATAAACATTAAAGTAACACAGCTTGAACAGCTAAAGATATATTTGCCAAATGTATTATGAAATATAATTTAAGAGGTGCATTTTCTCGAAATCAAACTCTCCCCATTTTACTATACATAACTTAACTGGAAATTATTTTTAAACCTCCTCTTGATCCGGCTAATAAAAGAGTAGAAATTACACTTGAAGATCATCTAAATATTTTTTGAAAATGAATTTAAACCTCAATTTCATGTAATTATAATACAGAGAAACTGACTTTTCTTTGCTTGGTAAGTCTCTTTTGTTTCTCAAAAGAAAAGATAGGGCACTGAGGGCTACACAGGGGAGGCGCGGTGTCTGCATGCTGTGTTTTAAAAGCAGCATGAAGGTGCAGAAGTGTCATCCTGTCAAAATTCATCAGGAAAAGCAACATTGGAAAGATCAGGTATACAAAAATAGAAAAAATTTAGCAAATGCAATTACACTTGCATCTTCTAATGAATTTTGATTTTATTGTCTGCAGTATGCACAGTTCATTCGGCTGCTGGAAAGGTTATTGACGCTGCACCGTGGTGCCGAAGAAGAATTTGTACAGAGATTCCGTAGGAGTGTAACTATTCAATCAAAAAAACACCTGATTGAACCTGTGCAGTATGACGAGCAAGGAATGGCCTTCAGCACCAGCGAAGGTAATGACATTCCGTGGGGAGAAGATAAATTTCGTGAAAACTGAGAAACAACAATTATTTTTACTTGCTATCGCTCCCTGGTATTTAGTTGATTCATTTGGTGTTTTTTGTTTTTTGTTTTTGTTCTGTTGCTACTGCTACATTGGATATCCTAATTCTTAAGACTGTTGAGGTTTCAAAAATCTGAACCTTCTCATGTCCCAAGAAAAAACGTGGATGCATACCTACCCCATCATGTTAACACTTTTTAGTTTTACAGATTTATGTGAAATCTTTTTCTTTTCACATTTTCAACTGGCAGAAACAAAAACTGTTCGTAGTAAAGGTTTCCCCTATAAAATGCTCAGGGAACCTGCTTATCAGATAGCAAAAGTATGAAACCTGAAAACTTGAGGCCCTCAACCTCGCATGTTCCTTGGAGCCGCGCAGACATTCATTCTGATGCAGCTCTTAAGGCCTGACCTAGTGAATGACAAACCTTCAACTCTTCCTTTGGCACTTCAAAGAAATGGGACCTTTCCTGGGGATTCTTTTCATTTCTAACAATTCTGTTGTATCATACTACCCATACTTTGTTTAAGTTCTATGATTACATATATCCTTATTATCAAAGAAGACCATTGTAAATTGCTTGTTTTTCTAAAGTAAGGTTAATAAATATGAATTACTTCATCGCTTGTTGATACTAATTTTAAATGATTGTGGTGTTCCTAAAATAGAGTTGAGGAACAAAATTACCCCATAGTAAGCTCTATTACATCGATTATGGTGTAGTTTGCCTGTTTTATTTTTGTTTGACTTGTAATCCTCGTAGAACTTTGCTACGTACAGTGTAATAGTATATTGTCCTTCTGGGGAAGAAAATCTAATGTCGTTTTACCTACCTCAGAACATTCGCCTTGAAGATTTTTACTAATAGAAATTTTATATTTACAAAGGTAAAAGAAAGAGCGCAAAAGCAGAAGCAGTTGTTTATGAGCATGGAAGTGGAAGAATAAAAGTAAATGGAATTGATTACCTGCTTTACTTCCCAGTGACACAAGACAGGTTTGTTTCTCGTTTTGCATTTGTGTTTTGTCTTTTTATTTATTAAAAAGGCTTGTGATTTTCTGATTATATATGTCTGAATGATATAATTAATTTAAATCAAACTAGCTAGAGGGAAGCTGTCACTATCTTTTTTATGCCATTTTCCAGATTTTGAAAAAGCCTCTGTAGAATTCCTCATTAATTGAATCTTCCTGTCTCCATCAGATCCTACTGGAAGTTGAGTATTTTAGATGTATCTTTTTTTCTGAAATGCAGACTGAGCCAAAATGAGAGAAGAGTCGAGTCCCACCTTCTGTTTCCCTAGCTGGGGGGCATATGTGCACAAAACAACACAAACCAACCTTGGCCCTTAACAGCATAAGTACCAGAAAAAATCTGCTTTATCACTCTGAATTTTTTTCCTACTCAGAGGAAACTGATTACATATTGAGCAAGCAAAGAAACCTGACGTTGATGTGTTAAAATAAGAGCTCATCAGGCTTTGCTTTAGTTCCCGGTGCCAAATATGGCAGTTTTATTTTTTGAGCTTTGTATCCTTGGAGAAATAGACATTAATCATAAATAAGTATTACAATTCATGTCCTCTAAATATGCTCATCTTTGATCTCTGTGAATCACTATCTAAAGGCCTCTTTTGGAGACAGTTATTATTTTTCTAGTAGTTACTGTCATTATCCACAAGTAACACAAGTTCTGCATGATTAGGCCCACCTCCATAATCTTCCTGTTTCCTGAATGTGTAGTGCACTATTTAGGGTGAAAAGGGGCAAAAGCTCTGCTGATTCTAGTGCTTATGTAAGGAAAAGAGGACACTGTTAATGTCGTGTAAGTTTCTGGACTGAATAATGACTTTGGGAAATGTATGTTTATTTCATTGGTATGTGTGACTGTGTCGAGGAGTAACCCACTCTAACTCCGTTCAAATGAAGTAGACTAATTCTTCCATCCTTCTCACAGGGAGATGGGTAGAGGAAGCTCTTCTTTCCCTTAAAAGCCAGAGAGAGGCCCAGAATGTCAGCACAGAAAACTGCTTGGGGAAATGGCATTTGACCAGTTAGTTTGCTTTCAGATATAACTCCTGATGGTTTAACGATAAATCTCAGTTATGGCTTGATCTCATCATTCAGTGGTATCCTTAGAACGTATTTTCCAGTTTGAATTCAGCAGGCATTTATTGAGGACTGTTGGTGTATACTGTCTTGTTCTGGGCATTGTGAAGACAGAGCTATTTAGGATATGATATCTATCATCAAGAGACTTCCTCTCTGACTGGGAAGCCTAAGTCAAGAGTGTTGGCAGAAATGGGCACCGGGACCATCTCATCACATTAAAGTGGTTGTAGGGATTGGGCATGGCTATCAGGTGATCTCGCTTCTAGTTCTGTCTCCTAGCGTAGGAGAGCAGGACTTGATCTCTACAGTGCTCACCTGTAAGTCAGCTGGATGACTAGCTAGCTGTCTTTGCAGAGTCCTTTCTTCAGGTTCTTTGCACAAATAGATCATTGGGAATGAACGTTGACTGTGTTGCCTTCACAGTGTTATCAGAAAATTCTTGTTCATTCATTCCTTCCTTCACTTATACAACAGACATTTATTACTAAGTGCCCAATACTGTGGAATACCGAGATTAATAACCCTTCTGATTTGGAAAGGCCTTTGCTCTGTCAGCCAACCATTAACGCAACTCTTGATCATCTGTCCCAAAGAAATACGTTCTTCACACAGCACTAGCCATGTAATAAGGGAGATAAGGTTAGCATTCTCAGCAATTGAAGAAAAATCAAAAAGATCATGCATTTGTACATATGCTGAATTGTAGGCTTTTGAATTGGTGCCATAAGGAATTGTGTTCAGAGTGGATAGAAATTCGATTTTTTTTTTGTTTGTTTTTGTTTTTTTCAAAACAACTTTGAGTAGATAATAAAGAGCAAAATAGATCTGATTCTTTAAACTCAGGATTCCATCGGAGATGCCCTAGAGCAGAGGAAGACTGTTTTTGCACAGATTTGTTTGCAGTCCAGAT